CAGATCCAAATTACAGAACAATTTAAATATACAGATACTAAAAGAAGCTAAAAAACTAAAGGTCTCATACTGGTCAGAAGAATTTAAGGAGAATCTCAACTCACAGAAAAAGGAACCAAGATTACAGACATACTTACAGAAGCAGACAAGCAAAAATTCTCCCAATACAAAAACTATAACATTTTCATACTAGAACAATTGCTCGATCAGAGTGGAACAAGAATGATAACTTGAAAACAAATGAAAATGTGTAGAGAAGCAAAAACTGAAAGAAAAAAAGCAAAATGGTTCCAGAAACTAGAAGAAGAGGTGATCAAATATAGAAGTACAAGAAGAATTAAAAGAAAGTACCAGAAAGAAGAGAGAAACAACATGAGTCTGAGGGCAACTCTAACCAAGATCAAGATAGACAGAAGACTTAAAGAATGGATCCTGCTTGAAGAAAGAAAAAGTACTCTCGAAATTGGAAGAATAATAAGAAAATATGGCAAGGAAAAGAAAACCCTTGATATAGAACACTGGGCGAGAGTAGAAACTAACGAAGATGATAGAATCAGAATCTAGCTATGCAAAGGTTGCTTCAGAAATAAAGATAAAGAGAAAGTCATACGATGCTTATTCGCTAGAAGATTTCGAAGCAACAGAAGAGTACTAAAAAAGTGTTGGGTCAAACAAATATTAGCCAACCAAGAAGAAAATAAAATCGAGCTTAAACCAGAAATGCTAAGCTGGAAAGAAAGGTTAGAGAAAAACCAGGAGGAAGCAGATTTCTTTCAAAAAATGCAAGATGGGATCAGAATAGGAATACTATCCAAAGAGTTGATTAGAAATCAAGTAAAAGAAGAGGAAAGGCAGGAAGACCTTATAGCGATTAACAAAGTGCTACAAAATGTAAAAAAAATTGATTTCTATACAGACGAATCACTATACGAAGAAGCAGCACCCCAAAGAACACAAATGGGGCAGGATAGGTAGCGATTACAAAGTTTGAAAAAGAAAAAAATGAGGAGAAGGCGAGATTCAGCTGCATACTCAAGGAGTGGCCATCCTCAACAAGAGCAGAACTACAACTAGAGGCAATTTGGACAGTATCACTGGCAGCACCAAAAAATGCAGAAATAATGATATACACAGACAGCCTCGCTGCTATACAGGCGCTCAAGTACAAAGAAAGTATAGAAAAAGAAAGAGAAGCATTTAAGCTCAAGAATACAAGTCTTATACGGCAAACTCAAAAAACATAGAAGATGAAAAATTTCAAAGTGCAGCTGAGAAAGTTAAAGGACACAGTGAAAATATATACAATGAAGTCATAGACAAACTAGCAAAGAAAGGAGCAAGAGAAGAGAGAACAGTGTCGACAAAGTGGCCTTGGTCAAAAAAATCACGTGTACTAGCTAAATGGAGAGATATCACAATAGACAGTCCAATGAGAGAAGTTGTAAACAAATTAGCTTTAGCAAACTTAGATGCAGAATAAGCAAATTTAGATAGAAACATTAGATGGATTAATAGAAGTAAAGAGAAGAAATTCGACTGGTGGAAAACATGGAGGTGGGTAGATGAGAACAAGGGGAGAAACTGTACAAGTGAAGAAAAAAACAGAAGGTGGATTTTTCAAGTCAAGTGCCTAGGTGAGATACTGCCAACCTTGACAGAGCTAAACTGAAGAAAGCCCAAGATATATAGAACAAATACTTGTATAATATGTAAAGAGGAAGTAGAGGACTTAGATCATTTTGTCAAGTGTAAAGAGTACCAAAACATATAGAATATCATTAAGGATGAATCTAGCGACGTAGGCCTTAAAGTACTCCAAAAAGAAAATACAGGAAGTGACCTCAATAACAAAGAAGCGGTTAAAAAACTCTTTTTTGAAAATACACAAGAAGAAAAAATAGAAACAAGAAGATATCTAGTAAGAGGCCTCATAACTAGAGAAAAAAAAACAAAGATCAAGGAGAAAATAGAAGACAGAAATTCAAGACGAAAGGTACTAGATACGATCAAGAAGAAGTTTGACTAAAGATTCTGGACCTGCATATGGAACTTTAGATGCGAATTAATAAATGATTGGGAAAAGGAAAACGAAATTACCACTGAAGCCAAAAGAAAAGAAAAGACAATGAAGAAAAAGAGATCTAGAAAGGAAACAAAGAACAAGGAAAACAGGACCGCAAAAAAAGAGAACTAAAAAACAGTCCTCAAAGAAAAAGAGAAGTGAGTCCTAAATGTGGTGAAAGAAAATAATAAAAACCTGATCAACTATCGTATCAAACCAAACTGGTTCTCATGGACCAGTACCTTAAAGAAGAAATGGTAATTTTTGACAAGGTCGGCAGCTCCTAGCTAAGGATCGGAGGAACTATATCCTTAGTAAGTTAAGGATTCAATGTGAAGCAAATTGGCTGCTTAGGCAGGTCGCACCTGGGCTTTAATGCTGAGTGAGTCTTTATTAGTACAGGAATATAGTATAGAAAATTTATATTTAGTCTAAATATAAAGTTCTGATACTTCTGATTTAAATAATAAAGGCAGGATTGCCAAAAAAAAAAATAAAGAAAATAAAAATTAACTATAAACAATAATTTTGATAAATTTATTTTCTATTATTTATAATATTTGATTTGTCGATATATAGACTTATCATGTTATATTTTTCGAAAAATTTTGAAAAATTTTGAAAAATTTCACAATTTTTTGCAGTTTTAGAAATTGTTATTTCTGAAATTTTTCGTAATTTTTTTCACAATATTTTGAAAAATTTTTAAAATTTTTAATTTTCAAAATTTTTCATGGTAAATGCAGTTTTTTTGAAAAATTTCGGCACACAAATTTTTCGAAAATTTTTATATATATTTTTTGCTGATGATGGTACTATAGTATCATAATACTATAGCACTATAAAATAAATCTCTATTAGTTAAAATTAATATAATATTAAACTAAAATAGAAAATTTGGGATGTTCTATAAAATAGGTGGGCAATTCCACAAACTCCACAACTTTGCTATTAAAAAATTAATGATTACTAATCATTAGCAAAGCTTATTTCTTATATTGCCCACCTATTCTATAGAAATTTGTATAGCTATAGTGAAAGTAACAAAAAACTATAGTGAAAATAATAATTTTCTTTTTTTATAATAATTTAATATAGAATACAGATTTTAAAAATTTTTATTAGTGATTTTCACTATATTATCTGAACTATATTTGTAAATTGACTAATATAATACACTACGTAATATTGCATGGTGCGATGCCTAATTAAGTTTATATTTAAAAATATATTTAATAAAATAATTTATTTTATCTAATTGTAATATATGAGTGCTGCAAAAAAAAACCTGCGAGTTTTTCGAAATCAATTTTATAGAAACGGCTTATCAGACACATGATTCATTAAATAGAATTTATTATAGAATTTATGATCACTGTTTCTGAAAAACGAAGCTGGCAAAAAACGAAATTGCAGGTTTTCACTTTGCAACACTCATATTATAATAAAAATTCATATAAGCCAAATTCCAACTCTAACTATTATTGGCAATTGCAATGTTGTTATTATAACATATTGTACAAATATATTAATTCATCTATTTTAATATAAACTTTTAAATTTTTTATTTGATTTTTTTTTTTTTAAATTAAAATTTTGAACTAAAATTTATAATTAAAGTACAGTATATATAAATTTTAGCAAGGCTTATATTTTCAAATTAAGACCCAAATTTTAACTTTAGCATTAGCCGCGATATTAACTTTTTAAATAGCAAACAATATACTACCGGTAGTATATACGTAGTAAAATCATATCCATTAAAATTCTTAGATTTATTTATATATATATAACTACTTTTTAAACTTTGACTTATAACGATAATAATATATGGCTCCTTTCTACTAAAAAAGATCGATAAGCAATTAATAAATAGAATTTTAGATATGTCGATTATAAAAACTTTACACATGAAATGTTGCGATTTTTTTGCACCTGATCTAAAATTTGATTGGTCAGCGAAAATTTTTTCACGCTTATGCAAAGGGAACAGTTTATAAAAATCGACAAGCTTAAAACGTCGATATCAGCCAAATTTATATATTTTGAGCAGAACCGGGCTGGTCACTTAATGTTTGGTCAGAACCGGAACCGAACCTGATAATAGAATCATTATATCCAGTTTAGACTTCATATTAATTTATAATTTAAAATGATTGGTTTAACATCTTAAATACGTACCGGTGGAGGAAGTTTTTTTTTACTAAAAGAGTCTTATATTCAATCCCTGTGAGTAATCATGTCATGTGATTCGAAATGCCTTCGTACGTACAGTACATACGTATAATGATATATATCTACTCTTATTTCTATGATAAACCGATAAACCTAAACAATTCATTAATCAAGGCATTTCTGACATGATTCACTTTAAAGAATGAATGGCATACATTTAATGAGGAGCATTTAGTATTTTAGGCAAACTTGAAACAAGTCAATGATCCTGGTATGTACCGGCGCATCCAGTGATTGTGTTACTTGGACAATGGCGGGGATTTGAGGTCCCAGGTTTGGCTAGGTACTTTTAATATGAAACGATCTATACCGAATATTATGATATCATAAGGATGAGAGGGAAAGATTTGTCTTTTCTTTGTTTTTTAATCAATCCGACAAGCATAGAATTGCACTATTATCATAAGCTTTTGGCTACACAAACGTATTAAAAAGTTATGACCTTGCCATGCCAGAAGGTTGCATAGTGTTACTCTAAACCTCGGAAACCCCCAATTATTAAAAGTATATTGTAAAGTTACCTTTTTTTCCTTAAAAGTTATATGCGGATCCCGTGACAGTGTTGAAACATCCATTGAAATAGTTTACGTCACAAAACCAAATTGCTTTAAGCAAACTTAAACTCTTAGCTTCGAAGGTCTTAACACTGGTAAAAAAAAAAATCGTTCCTTTTTACTACTCAAATTAACGACTAGGTATTATAATGGTACAAAAAGACGACGTTACTGGTGACAATCAAGCACCAAATAATGGATTGGCAAGCGACCAACAAGAAGATATCTGGACTTCAATTCTCAAAGGGGTTGCTTCCTCAAAAATTGTTCCTACAAAAAATTTACTGATTCTAGGTTCGTCTTTCAGCAGCTTTAGTTAGAATTGACCGCTTCCAGCGTCAAACTAAAAGGTCACGTGCTTTGTTGCTTATTTAAAGGCGATAGAGAATCGGGTAAATCTACCCTCATCAGACATCTAAAAGGAGAGAAAGACGAAGAGATTTATGAAGTAAATAATGCTTCAAAAGGTACTGACACTAACTCCGAGGAAAGCGAAAATTACAATCAAAAGCATCACAGCGACTTGGCCCTAAGTTATACCTTTACTGAAGTTAAAGATGATGGCGAAGAAGGTTGGTAAAATATGGATTTTATAGCTATTTAGTTTAATTTGAAAATCTTTTTTAAAGATTGATTTCCTACTATATGATCTATTTCGTCCTCTTCGGATGACGCTGGCACTGTCCCGCTCGCAGTGCTAGTATCATCGCTAACATAATTTTTAATAAAACGTTCGACTATTGTTAATCATATAAAATAAGGTATAAATTAATTATTATTTATTAAATTGAAGTAACAAAATTTGACCAATTATTATGTAATACACTTACGTATCTCTTGCATTTCTTCGACAACGGCTTTACCTTTGGTCCAGTCATCTTTAGCCCCTACAGAACCTTCCTTTTTTACTCGTTCAATACCTACTTCAATAAATTTAATCCATCGTTGCAATGTTTCGACAAAAGTCCATGGACGTGCCCAATCTAAAACAATTACAACAAGAGAGTCTGGTAGGGTTGTGGAATTAAGTGCAAAATGAAGGAGAGATTGATAAGCTTCTTGAGAGCCTGCAAGTTGGTATATTCCAAGACGAGCAAGCGTATCTAAAATGATAGATGAATTAGATTTAATAAATTAACACTTGGATAATGAAGAAAACGAAATAGATCATATAGTAGGAAATCAATCTTTAAAAAAGATTTTCAAATTAAACTAAATAGCTATAAAATCCATA